TTTTTTTAACACTGTTTCCACTAACTAAAATGCTCTGGGGGACTGGCCAGGATAGCAGCTATTCAGCACACCCTCTCTTCATGTCCTCATGCTGCATCACAGGCACCACTGCTCCTCTGCTTCATTCACCACATCTGCCTCTCAGTAACTCTGGGCCATGACTTCCAACCATCCCTACTGGGTCAAAAGTAGTCAACCTAGAAGCTATAGAAGAAGCTTAAGGGATTCCACAAAAGATTTAGAAGGCAAAGAACCACACAGCAGCCTCTTCAGAAGGGTAGAACCTGGCTCCACTTCTAGGGCAGCACTCTCAGCTTCTACCCAAGTATTCCAAATGTTCCAGTAAGAGGTAGCAGCAACCTCATACATAGGTATGGCCTGCCCTAGTCTTTATGTTAAAAGGAGTAGTGTTGACCTGAGCATACAAAGCCCACTGTCATACTGCAGGGAAATTCTGCATGGCCCCTGCATTCCACTCTAGACAGCTATTTCCTCTTCAGAAGAGCTCCACTGGTCACAAATGGGACCACCAGAGAAAATGTGTGCTGGTCCATGAAGCAAAACACCATATTGGAGCAAGTCCCTGCCTTGCAGTCACACAATTTTTGAATGTCCCAACCAGACAATCCCTCAGGCTCAATAATCCCTGTGCAACCTGGACTCACGGGCACAGGGGTCAGCAGCCTGTTGCCCAGTGAGCCCCTGACCCCAGCCCCTGTGTACCTGCCCATGTACGTCCCTGCAGAAGCCGGTGCTCAGGCCCTCAGTTCGCAGGATCAGGTGGCTCTGATGACTGAGGCCATTCAGAAGGATGTCATTCTCCTCGTCCTCACCATCTCCACTGTCATGCACAAGGGCCACCACATTACCCTGCATCAGACACAAAATGGAAACCTCCTTATTGGAAAGGACACCCAGAGTCAGAGAGTACTGACTCTTAGTGCCTCTAATCCCCTGCACATCCTTTTATAGATCAGCTACCCTACTGCCAATACAACTAGCCCCTCTGGGGAGAAACCCATACCTGGGATCCAGGACACTCATTGTAATCATCTATGGGACAGTTTCACCACTATATCCAACCTGTACTTCCAGCTCAATTCATCTAAATCCAAGCTCACCCTATGGACTTCAAAATAAGCTCACCCTTGAATTCTTGAATGTTATTAAGGATCACTATTCTGCCAGGCACCAATTCATCCAGTCAAAAGTTCCTGTGCACTTCCCGTGTACCAAACCCCACAGTAGGGTTAAGGAATAAGGGACGGAGGCTCTGGAGACAGATAGATGCTAACAATATAGGATGACAAGATGAAGAAAGAGAGAAGCATGGCAGGCTGAGGGAATACAAAGAAGAGGCATTCTACCTAGCCTGGAGGAGGAGATAGGAGCTAAGCATATCTGAGCTGAGTCTTGAAGGGCAAGTAGGAGTTAGCCAATCAGAAATGGAGGGGAAGGTCAACCCCACTGGAAAATGACAGCTTGAATAATAACTCCTTTCTTCATTCTTTTTTTTTTTTTTTAAGAAAGAGTCTCTCTCTGTTGCCCAGGCTAGAGTGCCATGATGTCATCCCAGCTCACAGCAATCTCAAAATCCTGGCTTCAGGCTTGGTCCCTATAGCACAGTAGTTATGGTGCCAGCCACATACACCAACGCTGGCAGTTTCAAACCCGGCTCCAGCCAGCTAAACAACAAATGCAACAAAAACTTGTGGCGGGCACCTGTAGTCCTAGGTACTTCGGAAGCAGAGGCAAGAGAATCGCTTCTGCCCAAGAGTTTGAGGTTGCTGGGAGCTGGGATGCCATGGCACTCTACTGAGGGTGACACAGTGAGACTCTGTCTCAAAAAAAAAAAAAAAATATATATATATATATATATACATAAAATAACATTCCAGATTCAGTGTTCAGGAAAAATTAGACAAAGAAAGAAAGGAGAATCATGAGGATCTGAGCTCAGGCAGGGGTAGTAGTGGTCATGGGGGGCAGGACCAGGTTAAAGAGGTACTCAGGGTGACAGATAGGCGTGCCCAGCTATACTGCTTTCTTTTGGAGCATGGAAGCATTGGGATAGTCTGGTCATTGGACATTTGTTAGCATTGCCTTTTCAGCTCATGTACCTTTTATGGGCTACTGTTTTGGTGAATTATGTTTCTTTAATGGAAATTAGTCTTTTTTATTTTTAAAAAATACATTTTATTATGCACAGTTAATGTATATAAATGCTGTTGTGAGAGGGCGCATATAGACAGTACAAAGGTAACAACGACACCCATCATCTCCCATAGTTACTTACTGTGTGTGTGTGAGACAACGGCAGCTAAACTCTCGTTTAGTATTAGCCCCAAACACGATATAATGGTATTACCCATAGTCTTTCTGTTGTACTTCAGGTCTCTAGACTTTTTCATCGTACATATCCTCCAGTTTGTATCCTCTGCTTACATCTCTCTCCATTTTCTACCCCCAGTCTATTTCCTGCTAACCAGTGTTTTGTTACATCTCTGTATATTGGAACTTTTTAAAAAAGATTCTGCGTATAAGTCAGACCATGCAATGATTTCCTTTTCGTGTCTGGCTTTCTTTCCCTTAGTATAACATCCTCTAAATGGCAAGATCTCATACAACCCAACAGTCAAAAACCAGGTAACCCAACTAAAAAGTGGGCAAAGGACTTGACTAGATGTTTTTCCAGAGAAGACATAAAAATGGCCAATAGGTATAAGAAAAGGTGCTTCATTAATCATCAGGAAAATGCAAATCAAAATTACTGTTAGATATCACCCGATACCCATTAGGATGACTGTTCTCAGAAAGTCAACAAACGTCGGCAAGAGAGTGAGAAAAGGAAGTAATGTTCACCGTTAGTGGGAATGGAGACTGGCACAGCCGTTACGGAACGCAGTTTGGAAGCTCCTGAAGAATTAAAAATGAAACTACTGCAGGACTCAGCAGGAGTCAACATGAAGTGAAATCACCACCTTGTGAAGCTATCTGCACTTCCATGTTTATTGCAAGATTATTCAAAATATCTAAGATATGGAGACAACCTAAGTGCAGTCAACAAGTTAGTAAAGAAACTGTGGTGTCTATACACAATGGAGTGGGATTTACCCCCATTAAAAAAGAAATCAGATCTTTTTGAAATTTTGCATTGACTAGGATCAATATATGTTACCTAGGCTTTACAGTGTATTTGCACAGAGTTGTGCTGTGCAACTTCTTATGATTTTTTTCAATTTCCTGCACCTTTGGTTATTCATCCATTGTCATTTTTATTTTGTATATTGGTGTTTCTTCCTTTTTTGCTTCATTAAGTAGCTAATGGAATCTGTGTTTTATTGACTTTTTCCAAAGAACCAGCATTCTGATTTATTAATTCTA